TTATCATTATTAGGGGCCAAGCACTGAAGGTGCTATTGGTATTGTGAGAAGTCTATGGCAGCCCTATGAACTGTAGATAGGAAAATCATGAAATTTGGTACACTGATTGAAGTAGTCCTGGACAGTAATTTTGAATATTTTCAGAGATGTCGAGCGAATGAAGATTGTTTCGTGTGAGCATCATTACTCACTGATTGTCCATGATGTGCTGTTAAAGATACACATTTTTTTTTTAGTTTTTATTAATTGATGAAATTATTTAGCTATATATTTATGTAGTGAATTTGGATGGATGCTCTTTCTGTAGGAAATGATACTCAGGATAACAGATATTGAGAGTCTACACACCTTTCCAACACTAATGGTCTGAATGGCCTCAGCATTGGATGAGCGATCATGCTCACCCAGGATGACGCGGTGAGAGGTTCTGTAAAAAATTAAATAATCAAAATTGTATAACCCAAAAACTTTGGCAACAGGACATGCAAGTTTGAAATGCAAACTTAATCCCAATAGATTCCTACAGGCTAAACATTGTAAAGTTGTAAATTTAATCTTGTCTTACCTGACATCGCAGTGAGCAGCAGTCACAACCCACAACTCATTGATCAGGGAGCCACCGCAGAAGTGGAAGCCAGTGGAGTCCTTAAATGAGATGTTCAATTTGTTTATTTATGGATTTTTTTAATGTTTGTTTTATTAAATATCTCTATCATCTATATGTCATTTGTTAATGAAGATGTCTGTACCTGCAGAGACACCTGCAGGGCCAGGAATGGGGCACTGCCTCTTCACCATTCACAATCCTGGAGTAGCCATTGATAATAGGGGGGATGGCAGGAACACCACAGCCTTTAGAATAAAAATAAATCAATAAAAAATAAATATATATATATATATATATATATATATCCTCCTGACTATCAGCTATGGAGTTTTGTCCTCTGTAGAGGACATTATGTTTTAGCAATTTCTCTGAGACGTTACAGTTTTAAGTCTGGATGTCCTGTACAGAGCACATTCAGGGCTTTTCAGAGATACTAATATCGATATTGTTTGGAGGTTTCACCATGACCACTCCCTCTCCTTGGTCTTTAAAAATGGCTGACAAAATGGCTGACATAGTGATCAAGTGTAACACCCTTAAGGAAATATGCTAATATTTTGTAATTATCATTTAAATCTGACTAATTTTCAAATTGTTTGTCATAAATCAACATCTCAGGAAAATGTTATGGGGTTTCAAATCAAAATATGACCTTCTGTTATGTAACAGGACATCGATTTCATACATGTCCACTGTAGAGGACATCAGAACTTAAAGCATTACACATTTTGGGAAATCAATAGAGAAAAAAATTATATATCAATATTCCTATTAAATATTAGATATTATTATGAAAATCTTGCTTATTATTACTCCCATTATTGCACTTATTTGTTCATTCAATGTTGATTCATTCTATGTTGACATATATTAATATGCAAATTAGATACAGTTTATAGATACATTGTGCATAATGGAAAAACTCGTTTATGGCCATTTTACACACATTTTGCATAAAGAAAAATGGTTTTTAAAAATACAAATTGTTTGTCATAAATCAACATCTCAGGAAAATGTTATGGGGTTTCAAATCAAAATATGACCTTCTGTTATGAAACAGGACATCAGTTTCATACATGTCCACTGTAGAGGACACCAGGACTTAAAGCATGTTTATTACACATTTTGGGAAACACAACAAATGAATGAGAAAAAAATTATATATCAATATTCCTATTAAATATTAGATATTATTATGAAAATCTTGCTAATTATTACTCCCATTATTGCACTTATTTGTTCATTCAATGTTGATTCATTCTATGTTGACATATATTAATATGCAAATTAGATACAGTTTATAGATACATTGTGCATAATGGAAAAACTCGTTTATGGCCATTTTACACACATTTTGCATAAAGAAAAATTGTAAAAATATCTTTCATAACATAGTTGAGAATCATCTTTATATAAAGTTTGGTATAAAAAAAATGAAAATTGACTTGTGATTTTTATTTTTTTTTAAAACAGGACTTTTTAAAGTCCCGATGACCTCTTCAGATACATATGATCATGCTCATACATATGAATAAAATATAATTTAAAAAAAAAAATTTTCATGCTCTAAACAATGTAATGACATGACAAAATTTTTTCCTGCTAGTCAGGAGGTTAAATATATATATATATATATATAGGCTGTTCCAATGAAAGCAAGGCACGACAGAATCCAGATGAAAGACATTTTAACTCTTGGGGGTTTATATAGCTGACCTTCTCATATGTTTACATATATTGCAACATGCATGAGTCATTCTTGAAATTTGCTGACATGTTTACTTTGATTTTTCACTTATGGACAAGATTTTGTGATTAAACATATGATTAAATAAGAATTACAATTTAAATTTGCCTGATGCTTAAAAAAAAACCTTGTCACCTTTATCCCCTTCTATTATAAGATTATTATTCTTAGATAAATATAATATATTTATCCCCTATATATTATTGTGATTATTATTTTTCTAATGTTACTTATTTTACTTATTTTGTTTTCCCAGGTTAAGAAATAAAACAATACAAATTGAATGAATGAATGAATGAATGAATAATAAGATAATTATGTATTAAATGATTCAATATTTAGAATACTTGTCCCTTTTTTTCATATCATTTGTGTTCCAAATGTTGAACACTAGTATTAGTATTAATTTACCTTTACATATGGTACAAAGTGTAGTGTTCATGTGAAGGATTTGTATTGCATCAGTGATGTGTATTTAACATGCTATTGACATTTTGAGCATTCATATTTTGTAAACTATTAATAATGAGTAAAATAAATAAACAATAAAATAAAAACAACTGTAAAGTTATGCTTTATGATTAGTAAAAATGTCAAGATGCTTTTATGTAAAAAAACAAACAAACAAAGAGCTGCACTGTTTTGCAGTGCAACATTTTGCTTTTAGAACATTTTTAGAATGACCCATGCAGTATGTACTATGTAAAGGTGTCACCTGCTCATCTGTTATCTCAACCTGTTGCATACAGCATTGCATTGCATAGGATGGATGTATTTCATGTTTCATTTCCATTATTTCACCAAAGAAGAAAACTGTTTAAGTAAAGATGCATTAGCATTTGCTTATCAGCAATAGTTTAGCATTCCAAAATCATGTTTTGCATGTGACCTCTAATCAAATTACTGAAATACTTTTTTTTTTCTTTCTTTATTTTTTAGACAAAAGGTGTTTTTGTAGAGGAATTTTTGAATAAGAAGCTTTTGCCAAACAAAATTATTAACCATTTTGGTGACCATTGGCTTCCACTGTAGGCAGTACAATAAAACAAAACACTTCTGAAAATATCTTCTTTTGAGTTCCACAGAAGAAAAAAAGGTGAAGGTGAAACAACATGATGGTAAATGACAGAATTTTATTTTTTTAGGTGAACTATCTTATGAAATATTTGTTTATTTAGCACTTAAAAAGAGTCAAATTAAATGTGAACATCCCAGATAAATATTAGTTGGCTAATATTTTCAGTTATTTATTATTTGAAATATTATTTGAAATATATTTTCTAATAGAAAGCATGAACAACAAATAAATAATTAAAATTACTTAATAGAATAAAAGATTTAAAAACCAATCAAAAACAAGTGTTCAATGGCACATTCATGAAGTACTGCCCAGTTTATAAAGAATGAACTTTGCATGTTAAACATGACAATGTTCAAGTACAGTGGTGTGAAATCATGGGATTCTGCACAGGTGAAGACCAGCTGATGCAGACTCTCAAGGTTAATTTTTGACCATAACGTCAGGTCATCATGCCCTCATTGGTATGAAATATTACTATTAAATTAAATAATTAAATCATTGCTATTAAATAGGACTTTCTGCCGTCAGTAATTCTGTGTCTTCTGCACAATGTCTTTCCTGTGGCTGCTGTCCTGCGTTGCCTTCTTTAGTGCAGCCTATGGTGAGGAAGTTTTATTTTTTTTATTATTTTAAACCTCTGTTTTTCAAAGGTCATAGTCACAGTTGCTGAAAATATCAGTATTGCTAGTCACCATCCTATGTTAAAAATACGCTTTGCATTTACAAAAATATTTGGCCCTGATCAATTCTACTATCAAATTTCATTATTTACAGTCTTCTTGCATCTGTTAATCCCGTTGCACCTCTTTTCTTCAGGCTGTGGCATTCCTGCCATTCCTCCTGTTGTCAGTGGCTATGCCCGCATTGTGAACGGTGAGGAGGCAGTGCCTCACTCCTGGCCCTGGCAGGTCTCTCTGCAGGTACTGTGTTAGTTCCAGCTAGCAAAACTTCAATCGACTTTTTTAGATTTCTATTGCGATTCCTGGAAATTAGTTCACAGCTTACACAAAGTATCGTTTCTTTCTTTGTTGTTTAAATGACAGGACTTCACTGGCTTCCACTTCTGCGGTGGCTCTCTGATTAATGAGTACTGGGCTGTGACTGCTGCTCACTGCAGTGTGAGGTGAGACAGTTAAATCATCATGTTATCTATGCATGAATGCTGGGATAGACGTGGATTTATTAACCTCTGTGGTTTATCTGCAGAACTAGTCACCGTGTGATTCTGGGAGAGCATAACAAGGGAAGCAGCAACACTCAAGAGGACACGCAGACTATGAGAGTATCAAAAGTGAGGCTCAAGAACTTCAAACTTATTCCTCAACAATACACAAGAGCTGGAGACTTAAAGCGTTTCAAATATGCTTCATGGTCCTTTTTCACTCCACAAAGTTATGTAAACAATGTGCAAATTATTTAGAATACTAGATGGAACATGATAATTCATGTTAGTAAACTATCATACAAAAAAGTAGAAAAGTGTCACTGGGGCAGTACCCTTTCAAAAAGTTACAAATATATACCCTTTAGGTATTGATGTGTACTTTTAAAGTACTAATATGCACCTTTAAGGCATAAGTACTATTATGTACCATTTAGAGGTAAATAAGTTACAAAGATGTATGTTTTAACTTTTATACCTTTAAGGGTATTGCCCCAGTGACAGCTTTGGACCTTTTTCTGGCCGTGTGTACTAAACCTTTACTTTGAATTTCTCTTCATTGTTATTTTTTCTGTGTTTCCAGGTGTTCACCCATCCTCAGTGGAACTCTAACACCATAGAGAATGACATTGCCTTGATCAAGCTGACCGAACCTGTCTCACTGAACGCCCATGTGTCCCCTGTTTGTCTTGCTGAGACTTCAGATGAATTTGCCCCTGGCATGACCTGTGTTACTTCTGGCTGGGGAGTGACCAGATACAATGGTTGGTTATCTGACTAACATATAAACACAGTTTATAATACATGCCTGCTTTTGGTTCTAGATCAATAGAAATATCTCAAAATCAAGTCATATTTCTAAAAAGCATACAACAGCGAAATAATGATGATAATACTAATACAATATTACATTATTGACATTATTATAATTATTAACATAATATATATTGAGTTTGAATCATATACACAGCTGTTGAAAAGTTTGGGGTATGTAAGTTTTTTTTTTTTAAAGTTTTTTAAGTCTCTTCTGCTCACCAATACAGCAATACAGTAAAAACAGTAATATTGTGAAATATTATTACAATTTGAAATAATTATTTTTATTAGTCAGTCATTCTCCATTCTTCAGTGTCACATGATCCTTCAAAACTCATTCTAATATAGCCGTCTCATAAAATAGTCGATAGTCCTGTATTTATGAGTGAAATTATTAATTTAATGTTTGCCTATCGTGGGAAAGGGATCATTTAAAAAGTCCACACATTTACCATATGTTTTACCGTAGTAACTGTCGCTCGACTATGTCATGTGTAGCCAATCCCTTACGAAAATTAACCATGGTTTTATTGCAGAAAAAGTGTAGAAACCATGATTTTTTTTTTTTTTTTTTTTTGTGGAAACCTGTTTTTCAGGATTCTTTGATGCATCAAAAGTTCAAAAGAACAGTGTTTGTTTGACAAATAAATATTTTGTAACATTATAAATGTCTATACTGTCACATTTGATTAGCTTAATGTGTAAGAGAAAAACATTTACTGACCCCAAACTTTTGATAGTAGTGTACATGTTTGTATATATTTCGAATACCAGCATGTTTTATGATTGCCGTCTTATTCTCCCTCTCCGTGTAGCTCTGTTCACCCCTGATGAGCTTCAGCAGGTTGCTTTGCCTCTGTTGTCCAACCAGGACTGTAAGAGCTACTGGGGAAGCAACA